CAAGTTAGGGGGGGGGGGGACACATCTCGATGGGATCCAATCTCGACACAACACCCCCAGCTCATGCAAATAACGTGTAGCTAAGTTATTTTCTGCCAGCCAGTAAACATGATCACGGATTAATGTTTGTTAGTGTTTGTAACAGTTTAGTTACAGTTATCATCTCTAGCTAACCCCGACATTGCATCTTAAATACAGTATGTTTAGTAACAGTAATGAATTAGGCCTACATAAAGGACCATTTCGGCAGTTTCATCGGTTTTTTCTATCAGGATGTCGGGGTGATACAGTTGTATTATACTGAACACATTATGTCACTTGTCAGTTAACAGGTAAGCTTAGTCCAGTCATGTATAATATGTGTCTGATTTGGTTTTCCGTGTTGTTGAAAATGGGTAAAAATTTGTTACCTCAGTCTTTTCTTCCTCAGTGATAAATCCAGCATTTATGATCATGAAAAATTTGTTTTCATCAGAGGTTTAATGACTATGTCTTCAGCTTCACTAAGATGTCATTTCACAGTGAATCTTCAATGGATTAAGGAACATAAGGAAGCAGTAAGTAAGAGGTGAATGTGCACTGGAGACCAGCACATTGCACTTGTGCACACTTTGAAATGATTTAAGGAACCTACAGAGAAATGTCAGCAGTTGATTCTTCAGGGATCCAATTCTGTGCATACATCATTCTGCACAGTAAAGGTCAAAGTTCTAAGTACTGTATGTCCACACCATGGCAAGGTTTCACCAATAAACTGTCTCGCTGTTTAGTTAGTTTGTGGTCAGTCGGCTAGGTAATGTCACACTTGGTTTATTATTGGCCACTGATGCAGCTCCTTTATTAATATCAGTGTTTGTCATCCATCCAAAACCTTCTCAGTTAGAAGGAGGCAAGTCCATGACACCATGAGTCCTCCAGTGCTGCCCAGAGTCTTCTGCTGTTGTCACAGGAAAATCTGGCTGCATTCAGCAACGAGAAGCGAACACTTCTTCGTTTGTCACCCTGTTATTACCTGCCCCCAGATGATGCTATGGAAGGACAAACATAATGAATAGATATACTACCATCAGGCAGCTTGGGGATGGCACCTACGGCTCAGTCATCCTTGGCCGCAGTCTGGAATCAGGAGAACTAGTTGCCATAAAGAAGTGAGTATTTGGAGATTGCAAGGTTTCGCTGCAATCTGCAATATTTTTCTCCTTCTCAGCTTTAGAGTTAATGTCGTACACCTTACTGTATATTGCTTTCTCTCCAGTCGATTATATTACGACAGCCTATCTGTAAGAATTATGCGAATTGTGGGGCAAGGTTATCATCAAGTGTGGGCTTTTTGTTTTGTAATTATTAGACTTAACAACAGCTAAAAAAAAAAGAATGCTATGTAACTGGATGTCATTTCCAACAAATTTGTTAACAGGAACAATGTTTTTGCAGAATGAAAAGAAAATTCTACTCCTGGGAAGAATGCATGAACCTTCGTGAAGTCAAGGTGAGTTTAGGCTGTGTCTTCACGGTTTCAGCACAGTTTGGCACATTTGAATAACTCAGCAGTATTATGAAAAAAACGACCCAAAATCAAATTAAAGGAAATGTTCTTTTCTGTTCTTTAATATAGAATGTAAGCAATTTAGCAGTTCAGGTGCATCTTTGGGGGGGGGTTTCCATCATAGGAACATACTGAAACATGTCAAGGAGTGTAATGCTCCTCACAGGATCTGTGTTTGTTTGCATTGCCCTCCACCCCCTTTGGAAGTGCGTTAAAATGCCTCACTGCCATGGATTAATCCCCCACCCCCTGACTTAATCGATATCTTCAAAGCAAAACTGCCACAATTTTTCATTCATCTTTTGGCTCAACTCCCCAAATTTGGGTATGTTATGCTATATCACCATGGTCTGTTGTATTACCAGCTGATCTCAAAAACAATGTCGCAGTGGAGCAGAACAACAGCTAAATGCTGACAGAAGTAGCTGAAGGCATCCACTGCAGTCCCCAAGCTTTAGAAATGGCTTTATAACCTTTTCCGGACTGATAGAGCTCCATTATTCTCTTTCTCATTTGTTTTTGAATTTCTTTGGATCTCGGCATGATGTCTAGCTTTTGAGGATCTTTTGGTCTACTTCACTTTGTCAGGCAGGTCCTATTTAAGTGATTTCTTGATTGCGAACAGGTGTGGCAAGAGAAATTGAACTCAGGTGCGATAAACCAGTGTTTTGACAGGGGGGCAAACACTTGTTCACACAGGGCTCTATAGTTTTGGATTTTGTTTTCCCTTAATAATAAAAACCTTCATTTAAAAACTGCATGATGTGTTTACTTGTGTTATCTTTGACTAATATATAAATTTGTTTGACGATCTGAAACATTACAGTGTGACAAACATGCAAAAAGATAAGAAATCAGTAAGGGGGCAAATACTTTTTCACACCACTGTATATGTATATCGATGTAACACATGCTTTGACTCTTTGTGTTTCTGTTTGGGTTGTTGTTTTCTTTGTTGTGTAGAAAAACAGAAACAAACTCTTATGATGGTTTCTTGGTAATGCAGTGATGATGATGTGACTAACATGCTGTACAGTTTAGACCAGCTGTTAAATGTTCAGCACTCTCTCTTGTTTCTTTTCACACTATTTCAGTATTCTACTGTCTAAATGTCCTCACAGCTCAAAGTCACACATCAGCTGTAAGAGTAGAAGGTGATTCTCGTGTGCTGTTGGTTTTGAGCTCTGGTTCCCATCCCTGGCCTACACACCCCCTTTCCTAGAGCTTGACCTCAACGCAACAAAACAAGTGTAGAACACGCTGGTCCCTTAGAGTCCTGCTAATTAGATTATAATTACAGCATGTCAACACCATGAAATATCAAAATCCCATTACAGCTTTTCCCCTTAACTAAAATTTAGCATGGTTAAACCTGTATCATCCCAGTGCATGGGAAAGGTGTACATTTCTCCACCGCTTTCTATTATTCTCTATTTATTTTTCCCTTTTTTAAATGATCATAAATCCCACCTTTGCAGCATTTACACCCAAACTATATTGTTTTCTTACACCAGCCATGTTTTAACAAGAACGTTTTGTTTAATAGTTGTAGGGCGTGCTTTTGAATGTGCTGCAGTGACCTGTGTGTTTTGTCCAGCATGATTAGAATATCTACCATTTTTTTTGTTTATAAATTCCACATATTCTTATAAAACCTGTTTCTTTGTTTTTTCAGTCCCTAAAGAAACTCAACCATGCAAATGTGATCAAACTTAAGGAGGTAATTCGAGAAAATGATCACTTGTACTTCATATTTGAGTACATGAAGGAAAATTTATATCAGCTTATGAAAGACAGGTGTGTACAGCTGTTTTTTTGGGCATGATTCCTTCCACATTTTGAGCTGTGTTTGGTAAACTACCATAGTTTTTTAACCAATTAGGTTTTTGCTCTATTTGTTTTGTGTGCCAGGACTCGGTTGTTTCCTGAATCTGCTGTAAGAAATATTATGTTTCAGATACTACAGGGGCTCGCGTTCATTCATAAGCATGGTATGTCTGTTTACAACTCAATTTTCTTCAATTAAACATGACACAAGTGATAGATTTTGTACCATTAGAGTCAAGGTAGTCATGCAGCATGTCTTTGTTAGGGTTTTTCCACAGGGACATGAAACCCGAGAATCTTCTGTGCATGGGCCCAGAGCTGGTGAAAATAGCTGACTTTGGGCTTGCCCGTGAGATCAGATCTCGGCCACCATACACAGACTATGTCTCGACTAGATGGTGAGTGTCTTTCCCAGTGAGAATAATGTATGTACATGTAAGAGTTCACTGCATTCACATCCCAGTATCTTGTCTGTTGTGATCAGGTACAGAGCCCCAGAGGTGCTCCTCAGATCCACATCCTACAGTTCACCCATAGATCAGTGGGCAGTCGGCTGCATCATGGCAGAGCTTTATACCCTCAGGCCTCTTTTTCCAGGTTCCAGTGAAGTGGACACCATATTCAAGATTTGCCAAGTCTTGGGTACACCAAAGAAGGTAATGTTCATCATGTGGAACACACACCAAAAAAACAAAACCAAAAATTAAAATTTTTTCTTACAAAAAATCCTCCAAGTACAATCCTTGGCCAACCATGGTGTGTTGGCACGTATGAAGTCGGATTGAGTGACCATCTTTGTCGCTGAATAGATCAGTGTAGACAGTGAAGCTGTTCTAGACAACGTGTTAATGTTCAGTCTGTGGAGCAAAAAAAGACAATCAAAACAAGTAGTCTGAGATTCTTAAAGTGAGAGAAAATCCTAACAGTGATTCACAAATAATTTGTTTTGCAGTTAATCTTTTTTTTTTCTTGCATTAAATGTATATAAGAATGTGTACAGTATATTTGTTTTGGCATTGCAGGTATTTGTCCTACATTACAGGACTGCTACTCTTATAGTTAATAATACATATTTTTCGTAAATCTGATTCTATGTGTCAAGTGGACTCTGTTTTCATCCTCCAGAATGACTGGCCGGAGGGATACCAGCTGGCAAGTGCTATGAATTTCCGTTGGCCTCAGTGCGTTCCCAGTAATCTGAAGACACTGATCCCAGATGCTAGTCCTGAAGCCATACATCTGTTGACAGACCTGCTCCAGTGGGATCCTAAGAAGAGACCAGCTTCTGTCCAGGTAGTGTCTGATATACCTTTCTAGTGTTTCTATAGCCATTGCAGTTATAAGCTGATGCTGTATGTCCAAATCTTTTTATGCTTTCAGGCTCTCAGGTACTCTTACTTTCACGTGGGCCAGGTTTTGGGCACTCCTCAGCAGATCCTGGAACAGGGTCGACCTCAGCCGGGTCTTGTGCCACACCAAGCAACTCTACAGTCACAACAGACTGTGCAGCAGCAACCCCTGCTACTTAAGCCTGTGCCGCCCTCCCAGCCACCACCTCCCAACCAACACTGCCCCCCCTCCAGGCCTCAACAGCAGATCCCACCCTCCGCTGTACCCGCAGCAGCCCAGGCGGCGGTGTACCAGTGGCACACAGGGCTGACCCGAGAGCAGCAGCCGAAGCACATGCTGAAGCAGGAACAGACAGAAGGGACGCCACAGAGCCATCTTCCATACATTGTAGACAAGAGTCTACAGAGCAAGGTGAGGATGGGTGTGGCCTGAAAATACTGTGTTTATATATGTGTGTGTATTTACTATACATGTCTGTTATGATTATTAATTATTCTGAAATTGCAAATATTCCCTATTTATTTTTACAGTAAAAGGATGAATGAATGAATGAAGCCTTTACATACAGTATAAATGCAGATATTAGACAGGTAGATGTACTGTAAACCTGGCCTTCTATACATCCTTAAAAATGGCTGATTGAAGTGAACATATATACTGACTACATCAGCGCTCAGTTCCTTTGCTCATCTTCACTTTGCATTTACAGTAATGTCTTTAAATTCAAATGTAATTGTGAAAAATATTCCTGTATTGTTGATGATTATTGTTCCAGCAAACGAGGCAGGAGATGGAAAATGCAAACGTACTGAGCTATCAGTTGAAGCCTAAAGCAGGGAGGCGGCGTTGGGGCCACGGCACAGGACACCTTAAGGGTGAAGACTGGGATGACTATGAAGAAACCGATCTGACAACCATAAGTATTCTTGGAAAAACTAACTTCTCCACAGAGAAGTCAAGGCAGGGGGAGGACGCCCTGAGCAGGTGAGGTTATGATCAGTCATCAGGGCACATTCAGTGGCGTCTGTACCGCCATGATGGAAGAACAAAGATGTTGTAGTAATGTAGTACATGAATATAACACAGGATCTGTAATATATCAGGTAGTTTACACTATTGCCCTTGGTCTGTCAGATATGGAGATGTTCTGAATTTCAGTCAACCCAGTGGAAAAGAAGATGCGCCTTTAAATCTGAACAAGACTACAGCCTACCAAGAGACGTCAAGAACTGCCTCTGCTAAACAGCATTACCTGAGGCAGTCAAGATATTTACCTGGTAATATATGTATATTTTCAGATGTACCATACTAGGACCAGGGACAGTCATTAATGAAAACAATCTACAGTATCAGGGTCTCTTTTCATATGATGCATGCAGCTTCATTGTGTGCAGTTTTCAGCCCTTGTTATTCCATGTATTCATCAGATTATTTACCCATTTGCTATTATCTACATGATTTTCTGTTAAAACCTGATCATTTCTTTTTTGTAGTGTTCTTCCTCAAAATGTGGAGGACATGTTTTTTTTAGAGGAGAATGTATCTAATAATTTCATACTGTCTCCTTCAGGCATTAGTACCAAGAAGAATGTGACCGCAAACTCCAACAAAGACTTCAGTGGAAGCCATCTTTGGAGCAACCGTAGTATTCCTTTTGGAGGGACTCTACCGAGCAGAGGGGCTCATGGTAATCTCCCAAGACATCTTTCACTTTGACTTCACCGTAGTCTTTGCAGTGTATTCTTCTCACTGTTAACTAGGTGTTGATGTTTGTTTTAAATATCAGGTTCAAATACAATCCCTGGTGGATACATGCCATCGTTACACAGAAAAGACCTGGGTTCTGCTGGTCACAGAGGGCATCAGGGTCCTACACTGGAATCAACAGCATCAAGTGAGCTTTCTGAAATAGTCCTCTGTCTGTACATTAGGTGATTCCTAACGTTTATACAGTAGTGTTCAGACACCTAACAATGCCTTTAAAAAAAACCTCCAACCAAATCTGGAGTTGTTCTTTGTATGTGGATTAACAGGTTAGCTGGATAATTTTTAACAATTTCATATTATCCTGGATCTCTTGGTTCTTTGAAAGTCTCGCAGGACTTGTCATGGACTTGCCATGCTACTTGGGAGCAGGTTAGTTCTCAGGCTTATTCAGTGTAAACAAGACACCGTCTCGGAGCATGAAGCAACTCAGTGACATCAGAGCGATTAAAATAAAACACACGTTTATGGAGAACAGACAGTATTGAGAGATCGACAGAACCATTTGTAGCCAATCAGAAACCGGGTGATCATGGTTTCAGCTGTTAAATATATAAAGTCTAGTCATTGACCACGAGAACACTCACTTATCTTGGATGATTGAATCCATCTTTTCTAATCCACAACACAGGTGGGGTTTGAAGCACCGAAATAACCGGATAACCTTACCTGGCATTAAAAAAATCCAAGACAGCTCATTTGATCTTGGATCTGTTTAGCGATGTACGGCCAATACCCCTTGTTATTCATTGTATGTTTATTGTGATTTTAGATTATGCAACATGGCGGTCTGGCCGAAGTCAGATGAACACCTCCACCAACATGCCATTGGCCAATAAGGGCACCTCTGGTCTGTTTCCACGGCCGCCGATACAGACCATCCATGGGCGAACAGACTGGTCTGCCAAGTATGGACATCGGTAGTGGCCTTCCTGGATCTCTGATCTGTGGCCTGGAAGACAGATCTGCACTCCTAAGAACTCTTTCACCTCCAAAGAGTAGGCCTAGTTGTTTTATAATCCAAATCTGTACATACATCTTACACAGCAATAAACTGGGTTCTTTATGTGTACTATGGATGTTGTAAGTTGTAAAATATCTAAGCATATGTGTATGGTTAAATGCAAGTGGCCAAAATTTGAGCCCAGATGTGCTCCTCAGTGTTTTATTTTGTATTTCTCTAACTTACTAACTACTGTTCTACAGAGGTTACTGTACTGTTTTGTATCAGATTTATCATTGAACGTTGTTCACTAACATGTATACATAATATGCATATTATTACTTATTATTACTTTGTGGATTCTTCACTGAGACTTATTTTGGGCCTCTGTTCAGTGCTGCCATTTTTTTTAACATCTCTGCTGTTTTTTTTTTTTTGTATAATAATAGCCTTGTCCATTGGGTAATTGCCAGATCACTCTTGAAAAAGAGGTTTCCATCTCAATGATGCTTTACCTGATTAAATAAAGGATAAATAAATAAACTCATACTTGTGTATTCAAGGCAGTGCTTTAATTCCAGTGAAGTTAATACAACAGAGGTGGTTGCCACATTGTATAAAACGGTTTACGTTGCAGATACTCATCTTTTTAACATGTAATTTTTAGCAAAACCTTTTTTAAATGATTGGATGATGTCGGGCCTTTTTAAAACTAGAGCTGCAGCAGGAGAGGGGCCGCAGCCCAGGTACTAACAGTGCAGCTACATTAATCCAGGTCAGTAAAATCTCACTGTTAATGCTATATATGCATGGACACTGTGCATTAATAATGAGTGAATTTTACTGTAGTGGTCACTACAGTGGGCAGCTATTTAAATATTTATTGTATTCACAATGTTTTAAGAACATTTATTGAATATTTCAATTAGAATGTTATAAATCGGTTCAAATATAACATTGCAACATTTTTTGTCATTGAAAACAGAACATTAATGTAATGTTTCATCTGTAACATTTGTAGAACTTGTAAGGAATGTTACTAAAAGTTGTGGGAACGTTTCTGTCTGCATTATGGCAGTTAAAATATGGGGCTTCTCAATTACCTGCATTGTTTAGAGTGTTTTTTGATTTTTTGATTTGATTTGATTTTTTTTTTTGATTTATTCTTTCAAGCATGTAAAACAGTTGATATGACAACACACATAATTTTACACATAATCCAATATCAATTTGCTTATACCTAGTACATGCTTGAATGGAGTAGGAAGAAGTCAGACTTATCCAGTCCTACCCCATGACATCATCTTACCATCATTGGTTTGCAAGCAATAAATGATTCACTTCTACCCACACACACACATATTATACCAAAAAAGGTTATAACAGTGTTAACATTCTTACATCACACAAGTAATATACTAAAGAACTATTACAAAGTGTACACCACACCCACAATGTTCCATCTAATTAATCATTGAGCCTGTTCTTGCATATATCTTGATTGACACATACCTTTATATTTATGTTTAAACTCGCCAATTCTATTACTATTTTTTTATGTCCACACTTAAATTATTCCATAGTTTTACCCCACTTATGGAAATACAAAATCTTTTTTTTGGTTGTACGTATAGCATGAATTTTTAAATTTACACATTTCTTTTCATCGGTACAAATACCGTTGTTTACATGTACATCAAATGCTTATAATTACCATTCATTTTTCCAAGCTACAGGGTTCTTAGTATAAAAGTAACTCCAAACTAGATGAATACAACTAAATTATAGTTAGTGCCTAGGTGTTTTACAATCACCTGGCAAGTTACTCTATGTGTCAGTGCCTTATTTTTGCAATGTAAATAGAAGTGTATGCAACAGCAGACTCTCCTGTACCCAGCTGTGCATCCAGAGTGACTGGTATATGGGACCTCCTCTAAATTTTAAAGACAGACACCCCTCCCTTGATGAGAGGTAAGGATCTACAACATCCCCCTGTGGGTGTGCCCAGACCCCCTTATTATTGTCCCTCCCCACTCATTGCCGTTTCCTTATGTGTACCACATACTGTATGCTGCATTTACAGATGAATCCATTCAACAGGAGGTGGCTGACATGACTGCTGCTGTAATGAGTTTTAGTTGTTCAGCCTTTTTTGCCCACTTGCCCACTCAGGACAAGAACACTCTGGATCATGTTTACAGTAACATACATGGTGCATACAGGGCTGCACCCCGCCCCCACCTTGGATGCTCAGACCACATTTATTTGTTCCTGTATCCAGCTTACAGACAAAGACTAAAACAAACAAACCCTGTCACCAAACAAATTAAACTCTGGACCCCAGAGGCTGAAGGCTACCTGCAGGACTGTTCCGCCCAGACAGACTGGGATGTGTTTAAAGCTACAACCACCTCAGAGGACTTTTCTGTCAGCATACAGGATTATGCTGAGTATGTGACCGGATAAATTAGTTCCTGTATC